TCGTAAAATGAGAAACTTACAATGTACAATATTTAAAGAAATAAGAAATACCTTGACAAGGGTTTAGAGTTTAGAATTTAAGATTGAATCACCATTTTTTGCCTTCTAGCTTTATATATAAATTAATCAGTAATTTTTTCCTTAATTCCAAGACACTTTTTTTTTTTTTTGGTCAAAGCTTCATTCCATGACTAGGTTTATATAGAAATTCAACGCATTACAAACACGACAAGTTTTTGTACATGGTATTCCTCGTATAGCCTTGTACAAATACTGGTAGTCCACAAACGTAAATCAAATACAAAACTTCGAACACCACATGGTACATTTGGAATGGACAACACATTCTAAACGCACAAAACGTATCGTTTCAACTAAAATTTATTATGTTTAAAGCATGAATTATAAAATCCAATTCTCAATTCCTTATTCAACCTGCAAGTAACACTGAGAGATAGGGAAGAAAGGGGAAGGAGGGAAGAGAAGGAGCAGTGCTCCAATATTTTTTTGTATTTTGATTTCGTTTTGTAAAATTTGTTCTTATCTTTTACCTCCAGAGCATGAGCTCATATATAACTCTCCACTCAAACAAACTGTCAGCTGGCTATGACTAATCACTCACTAATAATTATTATTTAATCTGCTAATGTATCACTGATTGTGGTTAAGGTATTAACAGGGACATAACAATGAACAAATTAAGTGATGTGAAATATGTGTGGTTGCTGAGCTTCACACATGGATTGATTTATTTTGATACCATGAAGGAAGTTGGCGTTCTATCATAAAATTATTTGAAAGTAAGGAAATTTTTTGAAATGTCCTATGAACTTGTACGCATTTTTCAGTTTATTATATAAACTAAAATTTTAAGCAATTTGTCATATCAACTTTATGAAATCATTAATTTGTCATCTCTCCCTAATTTCGTTAAGTTTTCCATCCAATATAAGTGACTTGTGTTTAGGGTTATTGGGTCATTTTAATACCTTACTTCCCTTTTATTAAGTTATATTCGACAAAAAACTGTAGGGTTTATCAGGCAATGGAACAATATTTTTTTTATATGATAGCAATGAAATGATCATGCAATGCACTCTCTTATGGTTATTCCAAATATGTAATGATACACAAGTGGGAGTTTGCATTTTAGCATGTCACTAAGACACAATTTCATACGGGCTCTATAAATGAGAAACATGTTGACGTTTTGTGCCATAAATAGAATGTAGATGCATATGTGCTAAAGAAAAGTAAAAAAATGAAGTGTTTGTACTAAAGAAAAGTAAAATACATTTGAAAAGATGTTAAAATGACCTAAATAACCCTGAAAACAAGTCTTGTGTGAGGCACTTGACTTATATTGGATGGAAAATTTAACGGGGAGTTAGGATGAAATGACAAATTAATGATTTTGTAAAGCTGGTATGATAAATTGCTTAAAATTTTAGTTTATATAACAAATTGAAAAATATGAATAGGTTCATATAACATTTCAAAAAAATTCCCTTGAAAGTATCAAAAGTAGCCTAATTCCTTAAGCACATATAAGGTCTCTTATATTCTCAACGTGGGAACTCATACTCTCAATATTTTAAGAGCAATGTAGGTTGATGCATGGAATAAAAATTCTTTCAAAGTTATGAAAAAGAGTGAAAATTCTAAAATATATTAATGTATAACATACATTCTTGAATTTAACAGTTAGATACAATGATGGAGCCAATATTTTTTTTTTTTTGGGTTGGGGGGGGCGGGGGGTGGGGGTTGGTTTGGGGGGCGCGCATAGGCAAAACATATAAACATTGAATGATGAACAACTTGTGCAAATCAAGGAATAACGTAAGCTTGCTTAAATGGTGCGAGAGGGTCAGGCCCACCTACAATCTATGTCTGGCTCCGGCCCTGGTTAGATACATGTGCCGAAGAATTTCAACAAATTTAAACACTGTTAAATTTTCTTCTCAGGCCATCTTTGCTATCTCCACTCCAAATATTGCTCAAAAAAAGATCCTACTTCTTGGGCACTCTAATCTCATTCAGCTATTTCTATCCACCTATGTCCACTCTTCCAATAACTCCACCTTGCTTGCAGGATGACATGCCGTTTCTAACATGAATAAAAGTTGGAGGTATTCAGGAATGTATTGAGCAAAGTAGGAGGAGAAGGCGCGCTTGAAAGTTTGAACATGATCGATGTTGTTCAACGTCTAGGTATAGATTACCACTTTCGAAGAACAAATTGACCTAATCATATCTATCAGCTCATGGCCTTTCTCATCAACAAAATGACCTTCATGAAGTTGTCCTTCGGTTCTGGCTACTCAGACAACATGGTCACTTCATGACCGAGGGTGAGTATAACTAAAATTTTGGTAACAATTTGTTTCGTATATTTACGTAGTATTGTAGATTGATATTCAGTATCAGTCAATCACTCCCAATTATAACTTTTGTTGTTAATAGATGTGTCAACAACTTGAAGTAAAGGGAAGGAAGCATTTTAAGAAAATGTTAGTTAGTTAAGAGGTCAAGGGATTGATGTATGAAGCTTCACAGCTAAGCATGGAAGCAGAAGATGCACTTGATGAAGCTGGAAAATTGAGTAGTGATCTCCTAAATAGATCATTGTCCTATCTTGGTCCTCATCAGGCCAGAGTTGTGGGGAACACACTGGAGTACCCCCATCACAAAAGCTTGGCCACATTCATGGCCACTAATTCCCTATCTGGCATGAACAATAGACGGCTAAATATGCTACAGGATGTGGCAAAACGGATTTTAATTTGGTTCAGTCCTTACGTCAGAAGGAGATATTCAAATTTTCAAAGTTAACTGACATCGTGCATTTAACAGCACTTCTTAAAAATGCAGTCCAATTTATTGTCAGCCATGTTGTGCACATATTTACAAGGTCGAAGTACCAACAATATCATCAATATCAAGAATATATCCGCATGTAAACAATACGGTTAACTGCACTATAGAAATCCTAATTTGTCTGTTTATTTCATCCAACAAATTAATTAGGTGGTGGAAAGAGATGGGACTGCCTAGGAACTGTAGTTTGCGCTCAACAGATCCAAACTTGTAAGAGGAGAGGATTCAGCTCACAAAACCATTTATTGGTGACATTTTCGATGTACGAGACGCTTGATGAACTTACTCTCTTCACTGAGGCCGTCAATATGTAAACAATAAAATGTCCTGTACTTTCTTAATTGGCTTCACCAGTTTCCACCGTGAATTGATCAGTAAATGTTATAGAGCACTTTAACCGGACTACATGAACATATATTTAATGGCTCTTTACAATATGACGAATGAAATCAGCTGCAAATTCTATCAAAAGCATGGGTGGTACCCATTACATTCGTTTAAGAAGGTAATATATTAAACCGGATTAGTGTCATGAAATTTAATTACTAGTTTGTTCAAGAAAAGGTTTAACAGTTACTTCTACTACACGTGCAGTGGGGGGATTCTGTGCAATGCATTTTTAGCAGAAGCAAAACGGTTCAAATCCGGGCACTTGCCGAAGGCGGAAGACTACTTAAAGAATGGTATTGTTTCTTCTGGGGTTAGTGTGATGATGGTGCATAGATTCTTTCTCTTGGGTCAAGGTACAACGAAAGTGTGGAGCCATTGAATGAAACTCCAGAAATTGCATCTTCCACAGCAGCAATTCTTCGGCTTGGTCTCTGAGATTTGAAATCAATAGAATTGGTCATTGAGTTTGTCCACCTTCAATCATTTTGCTAATTCCATGAAAAATCTCCACTAAATAAGGATAAAATGACAAAAATACCCTCAAATTTTGTCAAATCATTTTGGCTTATTGTTTATTAAATTGAGGGTAATTTTGTCATTTTAATCTTTATTTAACATAACTATTTATGAAAAAACCAAAATGATTGATGGTGGACAATCTCAGGAACCAATTGTATTGATTTCAAATCTCAATGACCAAATGCGAAGTTATGCAAATCTTAGAGATTATTTTGACTAAATTTCCTTAAAAAATTTAGCCACAAGAGCTTGACAAAACTAGAGTTCACCATGGTTTAATCTCTAATTGTTCAGACTCGATTTAACACCATCGTCCGATATAATTAAGGCAGTTGGATGAAGAAAGGATTCCGGTTTTACACGTTAGATTTTGAGAGATTATTATTGTGATTTTGTCATGGTATTATTGCATTAGGATCAATCATGGCCGATGCCAGAAGATGGGCTGCTCAAGTTCAAATGAAGATCCATGCAATCCTCTGGATAAGGATTGCTTTCGCTTGGTCGGTAAAGCTGGGATTAAAGATCCTCTGTTGTTTTATGGACTAATGTGACAAGGAACGTGAAAAAACTTTACCATGTTGTGCATAAGGGATGCTGATTGTGATTAAGATGGTACAAATTGTAATGACTTTTCAGACTGGGTTCATAGTGGACTAATGTGAAAAGGTGATGTCAAATTTGTTTTATTTATTTTTATTGTGTGGATCCCATTAATTCATTAATTATAAATCTTGAAAATGTATTTTAATTGATTTTTTTTTTTTTAATGCATCCTACATATATCATTTATAAGAAAGAAACATATCGGTTAGAAAAAAAGAAAATCTGACATTGTCATGTTAGCCATCAAATTAACATTTGACATTTATATTTTGACATCTCCTTTAGATATGCTCTTAGTTGTGTATGTAGGTGAAAAAGGAAGATGCATGGATTGGAATTAATACCAATTTAACTTTCAATCTCGGGGGTCGTAATCAATGTTTAACAAAAACAATGACAGTTTCACGAAGTTAGGGTTTTGGGTGGAAAAAAAATCGAATGTCCCAAACCAATCCGAAATATTCTCAAAGCCGAATCGAAAAAAATACAAAACCAAAAATCCCGAAAATTTCGGTACGAGAATCGGTCTCAAGTTTTCGTTCGTTTGGTAATCCCGAACCAAACTGAAATAAAAAATATATATTATTTAATTTTTAAATATATATTTGGAATTGTAACAGCCGTCAGATTCGGTTGAGATTTAATCTCAACCGTTGAATATAAATAAAACCTACTCAGAAGTCTATGTCTCGACTTTTTATGTCCACAATTTTTTTTTTTATGCGTATATAAATCCACTTAACTCAATTCAGTAACAAATCTAAATGATAGACTCATCATTTATCAAAACAAAACATTTCATCATAAAGTATAAAAGCTAGCTTTGTGCCAGGAGATTAGTCAGTCGGGTCAATCAGTAGTGGTGGAATTGTCCACACCCTCACTCTCTCTCACCTCAGACTCAAGCCTCACCTCGGTACCTGAACCTCACCACCCTCCTTGCCGATTTTTCTCTCCTCCCACATAAGTGACATCACCCAAATTCGTCGCCTGAATCCCGAATCTGCCCACACCAGTCCTCATTCCTCACTCGTGAATCCATCACCTGAATCGATACTTCACCCACTGCCTATACCACCTGAATCTGGCTCCTGATCGAGCTCTCTGTCTTAGTCCGCACTCCTCCTCACTGCACAAGGTAAGAAATTCCTGCAATAAACTCAACCAAAGTTCATACATATTGTTTGATTCCAAATTCGATTAGGGATTTTGAATTTGGGTTTCTGAATTAGGAATTTCTGAAATTAGGATTTCTAAATTAGGACTTTTTGAATTAGAGATTTTGAATAGGGTCTCTGAATTAGGGATTTTGAATCGACGGGGTGGTGAAAAATATTTATTTTTCTCATGCTAAAATGGCAAGCTGCTGTTCTGGACTTCTTGGGCTTCGAAGCGTCTAGAGTTTTGGACCAATTATCGGCGGCAATCATCGTGAGCCGGTCCCGCTGAATCTCCGACAGCGTTATCGAGCTAGGAAGCGCCGAACCGGGCTTGGCCTTGACCGGGTACTCGAGCGGGTACTCGGCGACATGGTGGCGCTTGAAATCGTATGGCCCTGTTCCGTACACCTTCGTCATTGCCACTCGCCCACTGATCTGGTTGTATTGAGGTGGAATTGTTTATGGTTAATGTGCTTACTCATGATGTCAAAATTTGAATTAGTCATAAAAATAGGTTGTGATGTTACATTGATTTGGATACTAGCCCTTTACTTCGGTGCATCAAACTAATGCGATTTTGTGGATCAGGATTAACGCCAAAGGCAGAGTACCGAATGATTGGAGCGGTTGAAGTTCGTTCCATGGCAGGAGTTGAGACAGTTGTTGGTTGTACAGTAAAATTCTAGTAGTTGGATCGAAGTTTCGCGAGGATTGGATGGTGTAAAATCGTACTACAAATATTTTGCAGAAGATAAATTACTTCTATTGCTTCTGATAGTCTTTATACAAAGAGAGATCTAACCAAATAGGGAACCTATCCTACATTCTAGGTTTTACAGATATTCACAAATCAATTATAAACAATTTATAAAATAGTTTCCTAAAACTAAGCCAAGATATCAGGGATGATATCATTGACTTCTCAACACTCCCCCTCAAGTTGGAGAGTGGATATTGAGAACTCCCAACTTGTGAATGATCTTTGAGAAAGTATCCTTTCCTAATGGCTTCGTGAGTACATCTGCAAGTTGATTGGAGGAAGGAACAAATCTCGTGACAACTGAACCATCTTGTATCTTGTCCCGGATGAAGTGACAGTCCATTTCTATATGCCTGGTTCGCTCATGAAAAACTGGGTTATCAGCAATGTAAAAAGCTGCTTTATTGTCGCAATGGAGCAGAGCCGGTCTTTGATGTAGTATACCTAGGTCCTTCAGTAAACATCGTAACCATGATAATTCACAACAAGCTCCAGCCATGGCTCGATACTCGGCCTCTGCTGATGACAAAGACACAGTCTTTTGTCTCTTTGACTTCCAAGAAACCAATGAAGCGCCCAAAAGAATACAATACCCCGTAGTTGATCTTCGTGTTGTTGGACAACCTGCCCAGTCCGAGTCACAATATGCATTTAAGACTAAATCATTTTCCGCAGAGAAGAACAAACCTTGTCCAGGTGTATTTTTGATATATTTCAAAATCCGAAGAGCTGCTTCCATGTGTGGTGTGCGAGGCTCATGCATAAACCTACTCAACACATGCACGGAATAGGTTATATCCGGCCTAGTGATTGTTAGGTATATCAGACGCCCCACTAATCTTCTATATTTTGCCGGGTCTTTGAGGATTGCTCCATTGTCTGATAATTTAAGATTCTGTTCCATGGGAAAGTCGACGGGGCGAGCTCCCAGAAAACCACCATCTTTCAATATTTCTAAAGCATATTTCCGTTGGGAAATAAAGATCCCTTTCTTAGAACGTGATACTTCAATTCCAAGAAAGTACTTCAAATCACCAAGATCCTTGATTTTAAAACGACCATTAAGGAATTGTTTAAGGGCATCAATAGTACTCGAATCATTTCCCGTAATCAAAATGTCATCAACATAAATCAAGAGAGCTGTAAAAGACTTGCCTTGTTTCCGAGTAAATAAAGAGTAGTCGGACTTGGATTGTACATAACCAGCGGATTGAATGGCCTCAGAAAACTTCGCAAACCATTGACGAGAAGCTTGTTTCAACCCATATAAAGACTTACTAAGGCGACAAACCAAGTTCTCCCCCTGTCGCCGAAGACCGGGAGGAAGAGTCATATAAATTTCTTCATGAAGGTCACCATGAAGAAAAGCGTTGTGAACGTCTAACTGATGAAGAGACCATTGCCGAGAAGCAGCAAGAGCCAACAAACAGCGAACAGTGACCATTTTGGCAGTGGGAGAAAACGTGTCATGGAAATCAACACCCTCAAGCTGGGTATATCCCTTGGCAACTAAACGTGCCTTATAACGCTCAATGGAGCCATCAGAACGATGCTTAATCTTGTAAACCCAACGACAACCAATGGGAGTTTTACCACGGGGAAGGGGAGTAAGAGACCAAGTGCAGTTGGCTTCCAATGCCGCTAATTCGGAAGCCATGGCAGCTTGCTAATGAGGAAAACGAGCTGCTTCCTCATAACTCCGAGGTTCAACCTGTTGAGTAATATGTGCAAGGAAAGATTGTTGTGTGGGTGAGAAACGATGGTAAGTAAGGTAATTAGCGAGTGGATACCGTGTACCTGGAGTGCGACCAGACGACGAAGACGATGGAGGATGGGGTTGGGTAAGCTTGAGAGTAGGACAATCATAATCTCGTAACTTGGGTGGCGAAGAAGAATGACGGCTGGAACGACGGAGCACCGGGGCCGGAGCAGGTGCAGGCTCAGACACGGACAGCGTGAGGTCAGGAACAGCAGATGCAGGTAGCGGTGCAGGAGAAAGAGGCGCGGGAGACTCGGCATCAGCGAAAGAAGTCGGCTCAACAGAGAGCATAGGGTCAGAGGAGGGGAGGACCGAGGGTAACACGGGATCAGGTGAAGGAGGTTCAAGAAGTGGGTTGGAGAAAGACACAGGTTGAGGGGAAGATGAAGAAGGGGATGTGTGAAAAGGAAAAATATTTTCATGGAAGACAACATCACGACTGGTAAAAATTTGCCGAGTGGTGAGGTTATATAACTTGTAGGCTTTCTGACCAATGGGATATCCCAAAAAAATACATTTGTGGGCACGAGGAGAAAATTTGTGAGTGACATTGACATCAGTGGCATAAGCGAGGCAACCAAAGACCCTAAGGTGTGAAAAGGTAGGAGGTTTAGAATACAAACGTTCAAACGGTGTTTGCTTGGAAAGAATGGGTGTAGGAAGACGGTTAATGAGATGAACAGCTGTGAGCACACATTCACCCCAAAATTGGAGGGGAAGATTAGCTTGAAAACGCAAGGCACGAGCAGTTTCAAGTATATGACGATGCTTGCGTTCGACGACCCCATTTTGTTGAGGCGTATAAACGCAAGAGTGTTGGTAAATCACTCCATGATCTTTAAAGAAATCACGAAGGGAAAAAAATTCCCCACCATTGTCAACACGGATATTACGAATAGAAGTATTAAATTGGGTTTTAACAAAAGAAAAGAAATCCTTGAGAAGAGATTGTGTGTCATGTTTGTGTTGCATAAGAAAAATCCATGTAAAGCGAGAATAATCGTCGACTATAGTTAAAAAATATTTGGCTCGAAAAGTAGACGCAACTTTAAAAGGTCCCCAGATGTCACAATGAATCAAAACAAAAGGTTGATTAGATGAAATTGAACTAACAGTAAAAGGTAATCGATGTTGCTTGGCTAAAGGGCAAACATCACAAGCATTATTAGATGCAAAAGGGAAATGTAACAACTGTTTGAACATGAAATCTAGACGAGAGGATGACAAGTGACCCAAACGCCGATGCTAGAGCTCCGTTGGTGAAAGCACAAGGTTGCAGAACCGTCGAGGAAACTTAGACTGATCAGGAGCCAAGGCCACCAAGTAGTATAGCCCGCCTATTTGCTTACCCAAACCAATCACCGTCCTCGTCGTTAGGTCCTGCACAATACACCAGGAAGGAAAAAAAGTTACGGAACAATGTAAGCCACTCGTAATACGACTTACTGACATCAAATCTACTTTAAAAGTAGGCACACACAACACATCTTGCAATTTAAAAGTAGAACTCAGGGGGACATGGCCAATGGAAAGTATGCGAGCTTGTTCTCCACTGGGTAACAAAACAGGAGACATATTCTTATTTTTAACACCATCAGTAAGCAATTCTGGTGAAGAAGTGATATGATCCGTTGCACCACTATCGATTATCCATCGACGGAGATGCAAGGGAGAGTTCGACAAACCTGTCTTAGCGACATTAGCCTGTGGCTGTTCCTCACGGCTCTGACCATTCATGATTTGTAGAATCTGTTGAAACTGGGCATCAGAAAGTCCAGACATGACGGACTGCAACTCCTCTTTGGTGGCTGCATTTTCCGAGACATGATTCGCCGAGGAAGATCCCCGATCTTTTTTTGGTCGCTGGTTTCCTTTCTGTGATTTAACTTTATGCAAACGGTGTCCTGGTGGATATCCATGAAGCTGATAACAGGTATCAATGGTATGGTAGTCTTGATCGCAATAAGTGCAATGCAAAGGTTTGCGATTAGAAGACTTCGAACTAGGTTGACGTACTGCCATAGCTGCTACGTCTGTAGTAACTCGAGAAGAAGCAAGGCTTCGTTGCTTCTCCTCCTGGGAAATAGATACATAGGCTTGACGAACCGTAGGTAAAGGATTCATCAACAGGAGCTGTCCTCGAACAGCACTATAGGAGTCATTGAGTCCCATAAGAAATTGCATCAACTTGTTCCTCTCATTCTGTGCTCCACAGGTGCAAGAAACAGATTCACTGTAGGACGACAATTCATCCCACAAACTTTTCATCTTCGTGTAATACGCGGCAATGGAAAGTTGATCTTGTGTAAGTGAAGCAATGTCCCGTTGTATTTGGAAAATTCGGGGAGCATTACTTTGACAATATCGCTCACGCAATTCCTCCCAGATCGCATGAGCATCAGCCATATATAGGATACTATCAGCAATATCCGAGTCAATAGAATTAATAATCCACGCAACGATCATGTTGTTGCATCTCTGCCACGAAGCGTGATCGTCCGGCTTGGTCTTGACAGAAGGTTGCAGGACAGTGCCATCAACAAAGCCAAGTTTATTTTTGGCACTCAGCGAGATCTTCATAGCACGAGACCAGGTTGAATAGTTATCCCCATTCAAGGGTTTCGAAACCAGCATCATGGCTGGATGGTCAGAATGATGAATGAAAAGAGGATTGGAAGCATCAGCCTTAGCATTGAATTTGCTTCCAGAACTTGCGTCGGTAGCCATGGAGGTCGACGGAAAAGGCTATGTGAAAATAGCAAAGAACAAAGGGCAGCGGAAAGAACTAGGGTTTCAGCCTAGCTCTCGATACCATGTAAAATCGTACTACAAATATTTTGCAGAAGATAAATTACTTCTATTGCTTCTGATAGTCTTTATACAAAGAGAGATCTAACCAAATAGGGAACCTATCCTACATTCTAGGTTTTACAGATATTCACAAATCAATTATAAACAATTTATAAAATAGTTTCCTAAAACTAAGCCAAGATATCAGGGATGATATCATTGACTTCTCAACAGATGGACCCTTCGCCTCCTCCTCGAACTCTCTGTGATTCCATCGCTTGATAATTCACTTTCTTCATTATAATGTTTGTAAGTATATATCAACAATAAATTTTGTT